GTCTGCTGTATAAGAAAGGCAAATATGTAGGAGGATTTAGGAGTTATAAATGATAATAATTTAAGCTTTGAAAAATATATTAGTGAAAAATGCAGGAAGGCCAACTCTATGTTCGCAATTATCAGAAGAATATTTCAACATTTGAACTCTAAGACATTCCTTCCTCTCTACAAATCACTTGTACGTACTCACCTGGATTATGCAAGCTCAGCATAGGCACTACACAAGAGCAAATTCATTGATCAAATCGAGGGAGTGCAGCGTAGGGCTACAAAACAGCTACCGGGTATGAATAACCTTAGTTACCCAGAAAGATTACGTAAACTTGGGCTACCAACACTTAGCTATAGGAGGGTGAGAGGGGACATGATTGAGATGTACAGTACAAACTAGTCACTGGGATATACGACAAATCAACTAGAGACTTTATTAAATTATGGTCCAGTCATTCACATAGGTCTGGTAATAGAGGAAATTGTTTCAAGCTATTCCCTCAAAGAGCCAAATTAGACTTGAGAAAATACAGCTTCACTGTGCGTACAACACAAATATGGAATAGCCTACCCTATCAAGTTGTCAGGGCAAAAAGCCTTGGCTCTTTTAAGAACAGATTAGACAAGTAGTGGGATGACCAGGAACTCAAATATGACAATTATAGGTCCAAAATTAACATATCGGAAGTCACAAGTTAGTTTTGGAGGAAGAGTCCGATAAGGATCCAGTAGGAATCTGAATCAGAAATCAATGCTAATCTAATCTAATCTAATGTAATGAGAAAGGATATATGATTTTATTTTATTCATATAATGATTAATGGAGAGGCAAGTCAGTTGCCTCACCCTTATGTTTTATTTGCTAGGTGCTCACTGCAGGTCATAAACTTCAAATAGTCCTATGTTAAAGCATTACAAGCCAGAAGCCAGGGTTTTCCCAATAAAATCTCAAATTTAATGGATTTTCCACAGGGTAAACAACATTACCCCTCCCCCCAACTTTCCAACCTTGCATCTTCTTTTTCTGATACTCACCATAACTCTTTAACAATTTTGAAAAAAGGTAAATGATATAAATTCCTGCTTAAATAGTGCTTTAAACTTCTGAAGATTGCAAGAGTCTCAGGTCGGATCTGACACAAGAGCCTGCATCATTTTCAAACTGTGTTAAGATAGCTGACCACTAAGGTTGAACAGGAGGCGGTGAATATGATTATTTTTTTCCATATTGATTAAGGCCATTTATATGTCAATATATGTTTTAAAAGCTTCATGCTCTTAGGATGCATTTCAAAATACTGGCTTTAGTCACTTTAAGAGCTTTAAATGCTATCAATTATACCCACATCAAGGGAAAACATAGCACCTTGAGTGGAGGGAGGGTTAAGATATCAGCTGCAATTGCTGTCCTTTTGTACTGATTCATGCGCCAGTTTGATTCTTTTTTTCTCTTTTGCCATCCTGCCATCCTGCAAAACTATCACCTCAGCATCCCATTTGTAAAACAGCATCTAAATCAGACAGTGTCACCAAGGTATTGTCTGCATAATTCTGGAAGAATGACCTTTGTCTGAGAAATATTTGCCCCAATGTAGACAAGGTGCAGTTTCAATTACATTATATTTCTCCAACAAAGGCTGTACTTGCAGAACTGAAAATTTGCCTTAGTAAAATTTGCAATTTTCTGGGGTATATTAACAGTATTAAACTGATGAGACTTTTCCGATTTTTTCAGGGTCATTTGGGTCATTCTTGTGAATCATGTTCCCTGGACCCCCGGTCAATTTTCCTGCTTTTTCAGTGAGAACTAGTCTTATCCCTACGATTACTACCTGGATGAATTTTATATCACTGGTGCATCATGTTTGTCACGATAACCTGTGCACAAGTTACCAAACAAGATGGACGAGAAATCTGAATTTTCAGCAATAAAAAAGTTAATGAAGTCTACAGCAAAAATCATGTGATATACACAAATTATTTTAATTCTGAGTAAACGTGTTTGTAGCCTTGTAGAAAATTCGCTTAGTTCCTATATCCATTGGTTTTATCTTACAATACCAGTTTAGTATAAAAATCATGTGATATACACAAATTATTTCAGCTTTGTTCTGAAGATGTTATCTCATCAATATCACTTGACCTACTTTGGGCTATTTACCTGGCTCTCTTTATGACCCTTTTATCTTTGCAAGGTGATAGCTGTTAAAGCATGTGACCTAATAATGTAAGTCGAAGCTATGACAAGCATGTACACCACTCTCCCTCCCTCCACTCGCCTGCTCACAAGCATGCCCTTACCTTTGTACATTAAACCTAGTATCAGTATGAATTAGGAATGTGGAAATAAACTTTTAGTAAAGTATATACTGAAGGTGACTGAATTGGAAGTAGCAATCTGGGCTTATAAATTTCTTTCTTTCTTTCTTTCTCACTGAGGAGTTAATGAAAAATAAAGAAGTTTGTTTATGGGAGGGGGTCTTTTTTTACCTGGTTTTACTCAACATGTTACTGTTTTAAAACTTACTGATGTTTGCACACTGTAATATGTATTTTTTCAGCTTTGAAAATTTAATTCAGTAACTGTGATAGTGAGCCAACTCGCCAATTTTTTCATTTTCATAGCATCATATATTTCTTTTTCTTCCATACTACATTTCCCTGCCCAACTTGACTGCTCACAACTAGTTTCTAAGCTTTGCCCTGGGTGTTTGATTAATAGTGAATTTTGATTAGAAGTATTTTGATAATAAAAATGCTATCTAATGGAGACTTAGAATGTGTCTTAGCAGCCTTTTTTTAAATTGAATGCTTTTTGAAATATCCTTTCATTAAACAAAATGCGGTCAATCATTTCCACAATTCATCATGAGAAATATGGATAAGGATGTATACTTGAGTTGAAGCTGGGTTATAAATATTTATACTTGAGACATTTAAATATTTTTATTCATTCCATTCCTATATTGTTTACAGTCAAATGCAGTAAAGGATGTACTGTATGACATTTTAATTAAAAAATGGTGGCTGGAAATTCTGGCCTTTTTAACCAGGTGTAAAGAAAGTGTGCTTATTATAAATATCAAGAATAATTTGAAATTCTCTCTCTCTCTCTCTCTCTCTCCCCCCCCCCCTCTCATCCTCTCTCTTTTTTCCCCTTATTTTATTTACATGTATATACATTTTTTTCTGTCAGGGGATTACATGTTCTACAACCCAGTGTATTGTGTGCACCTTTGAAACTGTAAATCAGTAAAACCAATGTGTTTTTGTGTTAAAACTCCTTGGTAAAACTGACTCCAATATAGAATTGTAAAGATTTTTGAAACTTGGAAAGTGGAAAAGGCAATGTCGTTTTAAGTGTCTTTGAAAAATTTGAATAACATCTAAAGTTATGTGAGATTATTAATAGTCATCAAGAGAGATTTGCATATTTATAATATTAAAATAGGAAAATACAAACTTTATTCAAGGTGACATATTACTAACCTTGAAGAGTTGCTGCATGCACTGATGTTTTACCATTTATAAAAATAAATGTATGCCTTTGTTGCTGTGATGTTTGTCTTTGTCATGATCTTACTTGTGCTGTGAGATATATAAAATCTAATGAGGTCTACAGATTTCTATGCTTTCTCGTGTGCACTAACTAAAAAATTGTCCTCACAAGTTGCAAGTAATGTATATGAGTCAAGTTCTCCTGGATACTCTCCTAGGGTTGTGTTACTTCTATATGGCATTTGACAGTACAGCTATTCTGAGCCTTGAAGTCCTTAAGACATTTTCTTAAATCAGAAGACTTAGAACTATAATGCTCCATAAAGAGCGACAAAATGCATAGGCAGGGAAGAGGTGAGTCACCTCTATATAAGAGGAAAAAGATAAGAAGTAGGTGTTTCAAATCACTTACAAGTTGAGGCTTGGTGAATGTAAACAAACTTTACTGTACGTGATGTTGATTTTTATGTGATCAGTTGCATCTTCTTTTCATGTGGTTGCATTTTCTTTCTAGGGAGTTTCCACTGAAGAGCCATGAATCAACAGACAGTTTTCCTGATAATTGTCTGCACTTGGTGCCAGTTGCAAGGTGGCTGTGCCCAGAGTTCAAGGCCACATATCATTGTAATAGTGGCAGATGATTTGGTAAGTTTACCCTTGAGATGCACTCATGTTACTGTTTTAAAACTTACTGATGTTTGTACAGCGTCTCTTTGATGTCTGTACCAACTCTGCCATCCTTTATTTTTAACATATTGAATGTTTGAGCAAATTAATTGAGGATGAACACATTGAATTGTATTCAAACTGTCTTACTCCCGTAAATAGAATTTTTAAAATCTTGGAAAGTTAATCTTTCTGTAAATTTAGCATAGGTTGATTGTTACAGTATCATTACTGTATATGTCAGGTCTCTTCACAGTACATATTCTAACAGTTCCCCTGTTGGTTTTAATCATGGCCCTCTGACCCCATTGACACACGCATGCATGTACCTATGTACACAGTGATGAAAAAAGTTAATTCACTAAATAGCATATTTATATCCATATGCCAACATTATTTCAACATTAATTTGCAAAGATACAAACAATTTAAAAGTTGTGTTTATTTCAAATTGTATCCAAAATATGAAAATGGACAACAAGTTATTCTCATATTTTAGGGCTGGAATGATGTCAGTTTCCATGGTTCTAACCAGATTCCTACCCCAGCCCTGGACACTTTGGCCTACACTGGGGTGATGCTGTCTAATTACTATGTCTCTCCAATCTGTACTCCCTCCAGGAGTGCCCTGTTGACAGGGAGACATCCTATTCATACAGGTGTGTGTGTGTGTGTGTGTGTGTGCGTGTGCACATGTGTGTGCATGCTACAGAGTGTGTGTGTCACAGTGTCTCTGAATGTCATAGAGTGTGTGTGTGTGTGTCACAGAGCATGCGTTTTTGTCATAGTTTTATAGAGAAAAAAAAGGATTTTCCTGAAAATTTCATCAATTTTCCCATAATTGATAAGGTTTACCCTATTTCAAATAAAGGTCCATTAGGCCATTTTTTAGTTCAAAATTGTCAGCTTCCATCTCCAAATATGGCCCGCAGAGGGTGCAATGTTATCTTTAAGTGCCCAAATGGAGATTAGGAAATGTCTTGCAAGCATGGTGCTAGGAGAGGTAAGAAATGCTAGTCACATTTTCTAAATATAAATGTTACCTGCAGTGCATAATTAAAGATTGATGGTGATTATGCTATTAACCATTTAAGGAAAACCATTATGATTCCATAACTTACAGAAAATATTGGAAGGCCCAAAATACTGGTTTAGTTCTAAAAAAAAGTCTGGTTGGATTCTTTTTTATTTTTTTAAGTAATGGATTTATTTATTTATTTTTTTTTTAATTAATTTATTTATTTATTTATTGTGAAAATTTTCACATATTGGCATTTTCAACTCCATGTGCTTTTGAACTCCATGTGCCTGAAGCCCTTTACTAGTTATTTTTTGTAATGATACAGTATATTGTTTTAAAGTTGGTGGTGATTGTGCTGTTTAGCATTATGTAACCTATAAAAAATTTTTGCACTGCCCCTATAAATGCTCTAAGAGAAAAACTGTGTTACCTATTATTTTGTAACTTACAAGAATAATTAATAGGATTGACATACAGTTGACATTGGAAAACCAGCTGATTAGATTATTTGTCTTTCTTAAAACTTTTGTGAAATTTTCATTTTATTTCTTTTTTTTTTCATTTGTAAATCACAGGCATTTTTAAGATGTGACTTGTAATTCCCATCCACCAGAAGCTCTGTAACAGTTACATTTCCTATATTTCCACAAAAATGGTGTACATGCTGTTAAGCATTATGTAATGTTATTTTGTGCACTGTCATCATTTTTCTCATATCTGGGATTTTCAATGTTGACTGTGCTGTTAAGCTTCATATATTCTGTGCATCATTGTTTCTAATTTTGTAAACCCAGCTTTGTGTCAGGTGATATATTGCTGCATATGATCAGTCTTGAATGTCCCTTGTGGATAATTACTAGCTGTGAGATAGGAGTTGTTAAATCATTTGACTCATTAACTAACAAGTGGCAATGATATTTTATAACCAGGTTAATTAAACAGGGCCATAAATTTCTTAGCCATAGTGTTTAAGTGTGCACAGACTTTCTCGGAAATCCTTAATCCCAGCATTAGGTAATATTGCATCAAAATTGACATCACAAAAACCAAATAAAAGGAAGACCACAGAGGTGCTTCACAGAACTTAAAGCCTCAACTGAGAAAATTAGTCTGATTGGATTAATATCATTATTTTGAAGTTATTTGAAGTTTTTTTTTTTTAACATTTTCCCCTGTATTGTATGTCTGACTTTCAAGAACATAAAACATACCACATGATTTTGAATTCTTATGTGCTTGAAGCCCTATGCTAGGTACTTATTCTGAAGTGGTGGTGATAATGCTGTTAAGCATTATATGATGTTCTTTTTAAATTAACAAAAAAATTGCTTAACATTTTTTTCCTGCTTTGTCTGAACAACTGACGACTTTGCTGCCTTGTTTTATTCAGTAGGTTGAAATAGCCCAGTTTAAATGGGACTAACTGTTTATAATCAAAAATAATATTATGCAACACAAATATGATTAACATGTTTGCTTCTAATGCATATTGTCTATCTTTAAGTTGTGAGTCAATATCAAAAACTTTATACTGAATTGAAATTCAGGTGGAGTTTTCGATGAATTATCAAGAGCATCTGTAAAATAGCAGTTCCTTCTTGCTTTTCATCTTTGTGGTATTTATGTTATTTACATGCGCATGTTATTACAGCTGATATCTAATGTCATGATCTCTATAAATTACATAGGCTGGTCACAATCAGACATGAAATAATTTTGCATAGTATGTTTTTTTAAGCAAAATAAATAAATAAGTAAAATATGAAACAAAAGAAAATTACTGTTTTAAGCAAAAGTGTATATATTTTCAGGCCTCCAGCACGATGTCTTGGTGGGTGCTGCCCCCTATGGTTTGGGACTGAATGAGACCATCATGCCTCAGTATCTGAAGCAGCTCGGCTATGAAACTCACATAGTGGGGAAGGTAATGAGAGAGGATTTTTAATTACAGACAAGTTTCTGTATATATTTTAACAAGATGAGCATCTGTCTGCAGGCCCATAGCCAGCAATTTCAAAAAGGTTCTTTTTCTGAAAAAGTGGACCTTTTTCCTTAAAAACTTCATGTGCCTAGATCAAATTTTACCCAGAGAGGACGTTTTCCCAGCAAAAGGGGCGGTTCTTTCAAACCCCCGAACCCCCCCCCTGGCCTGGTCTGTGACATAGCTGTCTCTGTTGCTGTCGCTGCCCGATGCATGACATTTGCCCTGTAACCTCCAAACCATATTTTTGTTTGATTTTAAAGTTACTAAGTGGCTTTGTTTGGTAAAAGGGCAGGTTGCTTTCGAAAATTGGCATGATCGATTTACATTTACAGTAATTGTTCTGTTTTTTTTTTATGTGAAATTTTCATTTTTCACACATTAGCATTTTCAGTGGCTTTTATATCCCATGGAACTAGGTTTTTAATGTCCATGTTCCCTGTAGTACATCATGTTAGAGGGTAAGAGTGATTATGCTGTTTTAAAGCATTATGTAACAATGCATCAAAATTGACCAAAACATTATTTTGTGCACTTTTTTCAGCACAATGTCTGAACATTTGACAGCTTTGCCGCCTTGTTTCCTGTATGCTGTCTGTATATTTGCCAGCTTTTCTGTCTAGTTTTAAATTAAAATTAACGGGAAAAGAATTTTCTTGACATTCACCAAGAAAGGAAAGGTTTATGGGAGATGTGTGCACAGCCCCAGCATACTGCATATACAGTACAGTAGATCAAAAGATAATGAAAAATTATAATAAGTTAATTGAATTACTTGCCTTTAAAAGATCTTCAAGATACTAATGGTATTAGATAAGTTATCTATTTTGACATAAAATGAGGATAAAACTGTTATTTAGTTTCACAAATTTAATGATAATTTAGCAAATATACTGGGAAATTGGGTCATTGACATACCTGCTTTTCTCCGTAAGGAAATTCTTCCAAACTTTTTCATCGCCTTTTGAAAGAGCTCAAATGATTATGATATTTAAAGGGATAACAATTATTCATTTTGGCCAAAAAATGATTTTTCCTGGGGTAAAGAACAATTTTCCCATACTTCCCAATGGTTAATGAATCCAATTCTACATTCAAAGTTAGTCCCTGTTTTTTTTTTCTAAAAAAAAATTTTTTTTTGTAATATTCTCTTAAGAGATTATCACAAAGTGTAGCCATCTATTATAGAGGTCAAGTGATGTGATGGCAAGCATAAACTCCAGAAAAAATGGTGGTAAAATAGAATTTGTTATATTTCTATGATTTGTTTGCAGTGTATTTATAGTAAAATATGGATATCTCACAAACAGTTGTTATCCCTTTAAGTGTTAAATTTGATTTTTATTCAGGTATTTCTTTCAAATCCAACATTGTTTTTAAAAATTTTTATTTTTAATGGTTTTGTCTGAGATTCGTGAGAAGTTACGGTATGCTAAGTGAAAGAATTTACAGTGTGTTAAAAGTCAGGTGTGTTAATTTTAATCATGGAGGATCAGCCAGTCTGGAAATGTACTCAGTTCTAGTGAAACCTGTTAATCTAAAGGTGTCCTTGTACTCTCTTTTTAGGGCATTGACACAGTTGTGTCAGCGGTGCTATCAGCAGATTTAGGTCACAGATAGCTACAATGTTATGCAAAACAGTGGCTCATAAATTGATACCCATCATTTATGCATGGCAGTGGCTCACAGATTTGCATTTATTTTGTTTCAGGGTTTATCACAAACCTTTTAAAGTTAAAAAGTTCTGTTGGACAAAATATTTTCGGTATGACATCATCAGTTTTTGTGCATAGAATATTGATTTTTAAAGAAGAGGTTTTGGGGAATAATAAAAGTGCTTCACCTGTCAATAAATATAATTGCTGATCATATCCCTGATGTATGGCAATGACTTGATTTTATTTTTGTGAATGTTACAGTTATAACAGTTGTTTTTTTTTTAAGTCATTAAGTCATAAAATTTGAGCATTTTCATCAAAAGGCAGCAACTGTTTTGTCAACTTATAGCTGTATTCTATACCATAAAAGCACCAAAAATGCTGCAAAGAATTACATTTTGAACACTTCCAAATTTTAATTAAAATGTATGTGAAAAATTGATAATTTATCTTCACTGAAAAAATTGAGTCATTACCGTGTACATTTGTAACATTACTGACTGTGACCTGAAAATGACCTGATAACAGTTTAAGAACAACTTGATTAGATTAGGCCTGTTCACATGAGGTATGTCTAGACTGGAAGTTGTGCCAACTGTAGTAATCAGATTTATTACTCAGTCTTTTCTCTGTCTGAGGTATAGTGGGAACTATGGAGAAAGGGACACAAATCATTATTAGCATTTGACTATTGTTTTATTTATTTATTTGGGGGCAGGGGGGGGGCAGTTTCCCACCTTAAGCAGCTGCAAGACCCCCAAAGCCACCAAGATATTTCTTCTTACTTTTATTGCACAACCCAAGAGCAAGTCTGGTGGTTACGACTGTGTCATTACTAATTGTTCACTTCTGTTGAAAGCATTGTTGTGTATAAATCCTGTAAAGAGAAGTTGTTTGTTATGAAGTCTAAGTGAAACAGGACAATGGTTTTGAACTATTTATATTTTTCTTTTCACACTGTCACTGGCTCATCCAGTTAGGATATATACCAGCATTCAATGTTTTAATCAGAAATTATATATATATTATAAACCCAGTGGCTGCTCAATGTTTTTAAGACGCAGCCCATTAAATTAATGGGAAAAGGCTGGATTGCAGCATGGCATAGGGCAAATGAATTTGTTTAAGTATTGTGTATTAAGTATTGTGCTAGGAGAGATGAATGTGTCTGGCACAGCCATCACAATTTTTATTTTAATGTTGGACCTTTTGAGCAACAAACAAATTTATAGTGAACATATGTTTTTATAAGAAGTCTTTTCTCATTTGTAGTTGTTATATTTTTCCAAGTGCAAAATTTGTCTCCTGTGCCATTTTAGTATTTTGAAGAGATAAAAGGACAGTGTATAACATTGATATTGTCTGTGAAATGTGTATTGAGGTAAAAAAAAAAAAAAACACACACACACACACATAACATTAGTGCCAGATACCCTTGTATTGTTGAAGACTCCTGAAAGTTTGTTTATTTTTTTCCACCCCAGTTCCACTCTATGTCTCCTCCACCTTTTCTCCACTGACTAACAATGTACAATTTATATTCAGCTGTAAATGAATTTTATGCATGTGTAAATATTGTGTGCATACATGTGACTAGAGAGGTTTTTTTTTAATTTACACATGAGAAAGTATTTATATGTGTGTTTATATATATATAATTCTCTTCATAATTATTCATCACAGTGGCACCTTGGGTTCTTCAAGAAGGAGTACACCCCAACTTTCCGTGGCTTTGACAGCCATTTTGGCTACTGGCTTGGCGAGGAGGGCTACAGCAATCACAAAGCTTATGCATATGTATGTACCTCATCTAACTAATGAGTAATTTAAAAGATACTAATTAGACTGATTTCAGTATTATGGTATGATGTGCATTGTACAGTACGCCTTTTGCAGAAATTTCAAACTGTCTTTCATTATATGGAGCAAACATAGCTTTTCATTTCATCACTCTGTTTGAGAAAAAGAAAAAAAGAAAAAAAAGATTATTACCAAAATTATAAAATTCATCCTGGTTTTCCAGCCAGATGCATATGGTCTTGATTTCCGCCATGATATGGCTCTGCTGTCAAACTATAGTGGGAGATATTCAACAGAACTTTTCACTGAGGAAGCCACCAAAATAATTCGGAGACATGACACCAACAAGGTAAACTTTTGGAAATTGTAAACTATGGGTATTTTTTTTTTTAATTTCAATACCAGCCTAGCCGCTGGCAATACACCAACCCTGCTGAGTACTTCTCCACAACTAAGACCCATACATTCACACCTTTAAAATTTTATGCACTTACTCCCACTGGTGGTAAAATACCGGGACATGGTATCACCTCTCAGATTCTCTAGTTATTTTTTTAAATATATATAATTGTACCACCAGCGTAGGCGCTGGCAGTTCCCATGGTTTTAGTCCCGACCCATATGTTCCGCCAGCTCCTGCGGCTCTGCCGCCAAGTCATCGTTACTGCTTCTCCTCCTAGACTACAAGTTCCTACGTACCCATCTCTTGGATTTAGGTCACGTGTAATCTCAACTCGATCCACGTAAAATTTGGGCATAGTCGGTGCTGGGGTCTAGGTGTGGTGCTTGTTGCAATGCACCCTTGTCCAAAATTGGCAAAATTATATGCTAAATATCTACCATACCGAAGGAATTATGGGAAAAATTTCTACAGACGGCTGACCGAAAGTCATATGTGGAGATTTCAAATATGCCCTTGGATTTGACCTTTGACCTTTATTTCTAGGTCAAATGGGCCAAAATTTTCTAAAAATGGAAATTTTTTAAGATAAAAAATTTATTTCTTCCAATTTTTTAGAAACTACACAGACCTTACTTATAATACTATGGGCAGGTCATCTTTCATCTCCTTGAGTTTGGGGCCAATTGGTGCATTTTCACAGGAGTAGCGACCATAAGATACCGAAACTGAAAACCCTCTCTGATTCAGGGACCATAAGTGCTCTTGCTTTTTGCATTTTGTAGAGCATGTCAAGCCCAACACTGGTGGTGGTGTCCATTTTTTAAGATAAAAAAATTATTTCTTCTGATTTTTTAGAAACTACACAGACCTTACCTATAATATTATGGGCAGGTCATCTTTCATCTCCTTGAGATTGGGGTCAATTGCTGCATTTTCATGGGAGTAGCGGCCATAACATATCGAAACTGAAAACCCTCTCTGGATTCAGGGACCATTAGTGCTCTTGCTTTTTGCATTTTGTAGAGCATGTCAAGCCCAACACTGGAGGTGGTGTCCATTTTTTTGTTTTCCATATGGTTTACGAGTTACGCTGTATCAAAAAGTACATTGTGGTGGTGAAAGTAAAATGTGCAATACGGTAATATGTATAAAATTTCAAACGTCTGACCTTTGGCCTACTTTTCACCATGAACTGAACTCTCCAAAACTAGCAGAGATAGGGCCCTAGTTACTATTGAAGTTGAATAGGAAG